AGAGGAACCAATAGTAATGTTTGCACATGTATGTTGTCGTTGCATATCACACATCATGTGTGTCAGTGATGAAAGTACAGATCTCAGTCTAGTGACGAGTCTCTGATTCATAAGAGGGAACCAATGACGAGTCGGGGTTCTAATAGGAACCTGGTTTGAAGGGGGACCATTGGTGAGTGGATGAAATTAGTAATATAATTTTGATGTCCATGATTGGTACCACATGCAATAGAGTCAAAGTGTTAATCACATTGCACATATATTTGTATTGTGAATTGATTATTGTTATTGTGAATAATTCATACATTTATGATTGCTATGAATGATGCTAATCTTGTTATCTTATACATTGCTAATATATTTTAAGTGTATTTTCACTCTTGTTTGTGGTATTATGTACTCTCTTGGAGTACAGATAGTCAAGTAGATGAGTAATGGTTGTTTGAGATGAAGAATGGCGTTAAAGCCTATTCATTTATTTAATATTTTTTCGTGTTATTTAGTTTTGTTGAAGCTCTGATATGTAACTTTGAGACGAGAATATTTGTTATTCGTTTGGTGTTTTCGAAGTTTGAGTTATTTCACTATATGAAATACTTTATTTTATTAAGACAATTAAAATATGTCTGGTAGTTGAGTTCCACTGCTATTTTTTTATTATGATATTAAAGATATATGTTAAGCATGTATAATACCTATATTCGATAAATTATATGTTTATCTTTTATAAATAAAGAGTCGGATTTTAGGGTGTTCCAGATCTTATCTCTATCAAAAACTTACCCTATTACACTTAAGACCTCACTACACAATTATGGTTCTGTAACATAACAATATTAACATAACAATATCAATATTTTATCTTGATGATTTGCTTTAAGGTTGATTTGATGTGATCCTTTTATATTTTGGCATTATAGATTAAGTTGATGTTTGATTATAATAATTTTTGTCAAATTTGATTTGATACGGTACAACATGTGTTTCATAATTTACGTGTTCTTTTCTCTTATTTTATACTATTAAATATTTTTGAAACTCGCCCTTCACATTGTGTTTGTTTGGCCTAACATGTTTGTGAAATTGTAGTAAATAGAAGTTGCTAAATCTAAAATTTTAAATTTGAGAGAAGTCAGATATGATACTGACACTTTTAGGATGAGTTATAAAGTCATATATTTTATTACTTTATTTTATCTAAAATGTCTATTATGTATTTTCGAGAAAATAAAAGAAAAAGATTGTCCTATTTTAATGTTTAAACAATAATCTAATAAAGAAATATTTAATTGTGATGTATAAGTGTAAATGTGGTATCTTTAACCTATTTTAATAATGATTTTATTAATTATTTAATAGTTTATAATGTGAGATGTTTTTTAAAGAGTAATTTTAAAAATATTTTAAATGAATTTAATTAGAGTATACTGATTGTATAAAAAAGTTTTACACTATCAATAAATTTATTAGAATATAAATTATATTTTATTTTAATTTTAATTATTTATTAAATAATATTGGAGAATAGTTACAATGTAATATACATAGCAATTAATTCCATTTTAAATTTAAAATATACTTCCTCCGGTCTCATTTATAAGAAAAAATTAACTTTTTAGATACATTAAATAAGTAATGTATTTGGACAATATATTGTCCAAATACATTACTTATTCAATGTATATAAAAAGTTAATTTTTTCTTATAAATGAGACCCGAGGGAGTACTTATTTGAGTTATAGAATGTCCCATTTATAAGTGATAGTTCACTTGACACTTTACTTGTATACATGTCCTAAGTGTGTTAGAAAATAACAAACTTCTTTGCAATAAAGTCTTAAGTGTGTTAGAAAATAAACATACATTTTGCAATAAAGGAAGTATAAAGACTGATGTGAAGAAAAAAAAATTCTATTTACTTCTCTTTTTTAAAACTAAACTCTTTATTTCTCATCTATTCTTTTTATCATTTTATTTTTTAATTTCGTTTCGCACTTTCCTCATTCTTTTCTTTTGTATTTTCTGATTTATGAATTTTTACACACTTTTAAAGTATTTTATTGTATTTTTTGAGATCTTCTCATGCCGAGTACTTGCATCTTAGCTTGTTCATAAATTTTGGATCTTAATTGGACTTTATTGATTAATACTAGGCATTATATGTTGATTATTAGATTGCATTAATTTGATTGAAATGTAGTTGCCCCATAATTGAGCCACTTATATGTAATAGGTCATTTATCTCCAAAACCCTAATTACATAATACCTTAGGCTAATAAATAAGGTTTCATTCAAAATATCATGTAAAGACATATAATGCAAGCTTAAAGCCTTGATCAATTAGTTGAAATCATATTATTCATTATGATATTGAGGTTTGGTTTTTAATATTAATTCGGTCTTGAAAACTCGATTATGATTGTCGGTGAATAGTTGGAATTTGTATTTGTTTTTAATCTAAATAAAATAATTGGTTGATGATTCAATTTATAATAGGACTATTCAATTTAATATAAATGGTTTTAAATGTTAAATCAAATATGATCTGTTAGAACCTAATAATGGTAGTTGTAGGCTTGAAAAGATTATGTTTCCTTTGTAATGATTATGCAAGAATCATAGTCGATCTATAAGAGTTTTTTAGTTTGAAATTGAATAAGCACAACAGTAAGTCGGTTGTTTAGGCTTACACTTAAACTTTAATATGATCAACAACAAAATATCTTTGGGAACATGTGATATATCCGATGGCAATCTCTCAGTAAATCAATCGTCTCAAATCAATTTTTCTTTTTCGTAAACATAAGTTGTTTCTACAAATAAAGCTTACATTTATTTTTACTTTGATCCTCATAAATTATTAAATTTTGTTTTTGATTATTATAAAAAAATTGACATGTTTTAGTTAAGATAGTAAAATGGGTTTGGTCCGCTGTACATGTTTGTTTTATTCATATTTTAGTGTAGGGTGAGTCAAAGATTTAAACTCTCATCTTTTAATGTGACCGTCTCGTCTCGTTCTGTTTTTTATGTGTATTTTTGCGGGCACATGTATCTACACGAAAATTTATATTTTTAAACCTAAAAAGAGTAGTGTCTGTGGGTCCGACTCGTCCCACCCTTATATTTAGCACGGGATAAATCAAGGTTTTAGGCTTGTATTCTTAAGTATGCTCGTTTCGCCCGTCCTATTTTTTTGGGGTTTTTGCGGGGCATGCCTAAACGGGGCGGACATGTCCGTTTGTCACTCTTAATTTTAGTATGTACAAAATTATTATGCACGTAGTTTTAATTTCTGATGTTAAATCGATGTGTATTTTTGAAAGATTATTTTGCAGACATGTTTAGAAAGTTATAAAAAATTCCTCAAACAAAAAGGAACTCAAAATTTAATTTTTAAGTCGAGATTTTCATTGTTTTTTTATCAATACCTTTGAAATTTAAAAAATTCATATTTAATTTTTTTATTTTAAATTTTTTTTTTAAATTTGGTAAATAAATATTTTAGAATATTTTAAACATTTATGAAAAAAATTATTCAAAAATTTAAAAATTTAAAGATAATTAAGTTTTCAAAATATTAGAAAATGATATGACAAACTACATGAATAAAAATTTTATAGAGACTAAAATATGTATTTTTTAATAGGGATTAAAAATGAAATTTAAAACATATATAGGGACCAAAAATATATTTAACCCTTTATTTTATTATCGTCCTTATTTTTTATTATTTGATGAAATGTCTTTTGTAACATTCTAATTTTTTATATTTTATTTTTAATAGAGTTTTATGATATTAAAATTAGTATAAAAGTGAGACATTGTGGTTTAGTGGTAGATTAGAATTTGATTAAATTTTTTTATTTAATTAAAATAGTAGAGAAATATGGAAAATTATGTTTTTGGGAGAAAAATAGAGTTTTTAGTAAAAATAACGAAATATGTGAAATTATAGAGAAGAGAAGTTTATAGAATTAATTAAAATAAAAAGAGAATTAGGTTTTATTTTAAATAGATGAGAATGAGAGAAAAATTGTCAATTCGTAAAAAAGTTGTGAAAAGAGGCAAGGGAGAGAAGAGCAAATTCTAGGAGAGCTAGAGTAGGAGAAGTGAGCTTCCATAACCAAAAGCTTCAAGTTTGCTGCGAATTTGAAGTCGGGGAAATTATTTATGTATGGTGTTTAAGCAGATAGACACTGAGGGTTCCTTACACCCATTTCCTTTTCTTTTTCTCTTCGATGATGTTTGAGGGTAAAGAAGGTTTGTGCAAAACCATTCTAATGTGATTAATATGATTTGATTTTCTATGTACCATGTTGATTGAGATTTAAATTAATATTATATATTGATTCCTTATGATAAGGCGGGAGTAAGTTATGAATTTTGTGCTCTGTTGATTGTAAATTGGTGTAATTTTGTATGTTTATTCTTGAATTTTCATGTTCATGAGCATAAAAGTTATGAATTAATAAAATATATTGACGCCTTATGATAAGGCGAGAGTTGAATTGATAAATTATATTGATGGCTTATGATAAGGCGAGAGTTTAAGTTATGAATTAATAAAATATGATGATGCCTTATGATAAGGCGATAGTATAAATGTTGAATTTGTAATGTTGATATGATAAAATATTGAATTTGTGATGTTTGATGTGATAAAATGTTGAATTTGTGATGTTTGATTCATATTGTTCATGTTTATGTTTATCTGTGTGTATTGGGACGGTTGAGACTCAAACAAATGAGTTATGGATCTATTCAATAGGGAGAAAAATGAAAAAATAATTTGCAGAAGACATAGAAGGAGATTGACTGTCGTGTTTCATGCGTAACTTTAGTTTCGTAAGCCTGTTTGAGATGTTATCGATTGTGTCAGAAAACTAGCAAAATAATATTTATTTTGAAGTGGAGAAATTGAGTCTAGGCCTTTAGGGGCACTACAACAGTAGAAATTCTCTGTTTTTTATATCAGAGGCGTAGTCAAATTTCAGTCATGCGTTGGTTGTCTTGTTTCACACATAACTTGATTTTCGTAAGTCATTTAAGAGTAAACTTTATATCATAAGAAAATAGACAAAATTTCCTACATATTAGACTTAATTAATATCTTATTTTATTAATTTCAATAGGAAAAATATTAGTTGTCATGTCTTAAATTTGTCCGTCCTTTATTTCTACGGTCAAAAATATTTTCAACATTGGTTTTATAAAATTCTTTAATTTTTATAAATATTCGTTTACAAACCTATTTTTAACAATATAATAATTTATTTCAGATCATTTGTATTTTTGAATAAACAAAATACTTGTTCGTCTTCATGTACTTTCAATTGGCTTTTTATTTTGAATAAGTAATATAGCACAATTGGAAAGGAATTAAGCTTGTAAGTATGAGGTTGTAGGTTTGAATCTTGTATGTTGCACTTTTAAATATTTTTTCCTATTGTTTGTTACTAATTTTCTTTTCTTTTTTTGGAGATCAAACTTTGGGCTTTCCATTCATTTTGGATAACTTACTTGCTAAGTTTTTTAACCTAATTCTAAGCCTATAAATAGGATTATTGTCCATCATAATTTTTCATCCACAAAATTTGTTATCTTCCAAACACTTATAATTCCTGTTTTCTGATTTATTCTAGGGTTGTTGACTTTATCAGACAACAGCCTAAGAACAATACGTTTTTCTTCTTTCACAATTTTCTACGCATTTATAAACAACAATTTTTTATTGGCCAATGATTAAATATGAGGCCACCCTTTTTGTTTTCAATTTTATTTTTCAATTTATTTATTATTTTAATCAAATGATGGTTCTTTTATTAAATCAATAATTTTATACACAGATCCAGAAATCCACAATTTCATAATCTCATTTTTTCTCTCACTTCTGATTTATTTAAAGATTTCTGAACAGAAACTCTGAGAAACATATCCAGAAATCCAAAATTTTCTCATAATCAACAATCACCCCCGAATTTCACAAACCCTAAACAATAACAAACAACTATCAACAAATCCATAAATTTCCCAACATGAACAATTATCCCCAAACACACAAAACCCACACGTACGGTACCATCAGAAGCGAAAAACATTTTTTACCAACAATCTTTCACACAATTGTACATATAATTTTTCACACGCACTAACATATTGTATTCATAGCATAAACCTGAGTTTTCACAACTTTCACAATTCCTGTATATTATTCCAAACAAAAAAAACCATTGTATAATCCATGAAACCTTAAATTTGTATTTTTTCTAAATCACAATTGGTCTGCCATTCTCTGCAAATTTATTTCATTATCATGAGCCTAAATAAGAAAACTGATTCTTCCTCGCCAAAACCTTTTTTAAGAACCCATAATCTTCAATCAAACCATTGATTTTCAAGTTCCAAATCTCCATCACAAACAATAGCCTTCCATGACCATCAAAACATAAACTCATTCGTTCAAAAATATGTACGAAACCAATTCAAGCAATTCATAATACAAATCAAATCAGAATTATATACATTAAAAAACTGTTTCAAAAGAGACAAGTAATGATAAATTCTACTTCAGATTCAAGAAGGAAGACAAGACAAACTGCAATCACGGATCAGACTACCTCTACATGGCAGATCCACTAGTTCAACAACACACCGACTCAGCTGGACCACACAACCGCTAATGACACAGCCTGTTGGTCTGTCGCCGACGAATTTATCGCTTTTCAACTTCCAATTATCCCTCGTCATCCCCAGGATAGTGCACTAGCCACAGGCCTCTTTTCGTTCTCGACCTCCGTAAGCACCCATTTTCCGGCGAAGATCTCAAATCCAACAATCACTCGGAAGCATCATCACCATCGTTTTTCCGTGTAACAACTGGTATGTTTTTTGTTCATTGGGCTTAAGGACCCAAGCTTATACTCCATCTGTCTCGTATTATAAGTGAAATTCACTTTTTAGATTGGTTGAATAATTAATGTATCTGGTCTATATAAAAACCAGATACATTAATTATTCGATGAATTTAAAAAATAAATTTCTCTTAAAATATGAGACGGAGGGAGTACCATTTTACTGACCGTGTTCCCATTATATACCTTGATTTATTTATTTAGTTTTGAGTTATTAGATTAATTTAGTTTTAGTAAATTAATATAGTTTTACTAATTTTTTGAATCAATTTATTTATTTATTTATTTTGATTATAAATAATAATATATAATTAATTAATTAACTAATTGCGTATATTTTCTAAGTTTCTCGAATAAATTCAAACATATTACAAATAACACGATGGATGGATACACTTTCGTCATATTCTTTGATTTGTTCAACGCCTTATCAATTAATTATTCAATATTAAAAGACTAAAACATTTTTCCCTAATAAAAATTAAAACCCTATTTTCTAAAAATTGCAATTTTAAACCCTAGTATCCTTGTGAACAAGATATATGAGGGGTGCCTAACACCTTCCCTTCATCTAAAAACGAGTCAATAACTTAGAATCTCTTACCAAATTAGGATTATTTGTTATAAAAATTAATTGTGACGACTCTATATTTTTTGTCGGTTATTACACTAGTTACAAATTTGACGAAACATAATGCTCGGATTCGATACCAATTTCCATTGTTCGATTAAACTATACCAATTGGGACATTAAGTCCAAAAATAAAAATTACGGTATGATAATAGACATTTTAAGATTTCTAAAACATATTTATTTACTTAATTTTGATTCCATTTTATATTTTAAATAATTATTCAAACCTAAGGTATGACTAGTAGGAAATATTATGTCAAGTGTATGCATCAGTTTCTATTGTTTGATTAAACTGTATTAGTTGAGATCTTAAGTCTTAAAATAAAAATCATAGTCTTAAAATAGACATTCTAGTATTTTCTAAACATATTAATTTGCTTGATTCCGACTCTGTTTGATATTTTAAATAATTATTCGAATTTGATGTATGACTAGTAGGAAATATTATGATATGACTGAATTGAAACGAATAGAACTGAAGTTTCGTAACTCCGATCAAGATGTGATCAATTGTGTTTGAAAGAGGGTTTAAAGAAATTTTGAACTGGAGAGTTTCATAATTTTATCATAAGTCTATAATATTTGGTGCTATTGTGAAGTGAGAGAACTTTAGAATAAAACAGAGTTTTGGGAAATCCTAAGGAATTGAATATAAATAAATAAATTCAATATGAATTATTTGATGTGTTATAGTTGAGTTTGACATGTTTTAGAGTCGAGTTGAATCAAGGGGTTGAGTTATGTGATATTTTAGAGTTGCGTTTGATGTTTTAGAGTTGGGTCCAGGTTCAGAGAGGGAACCTATGAAGAGTCCTAGTTCAGAGATGGGACCAATGACAAGATTAATTAGTAACATAACTTTGACATCAAAAAACCTTGGTATCACATGTATTAGAGTATAGGAGATGAATGCATTGCGTACATAACCTCCTTAGTGATTGACTATAGTTGTGAATGATCTATGTGATTGATGAATGATATTGTTGAGTATTTTTTGTTGTTTTATGCACCTTTAACATTTATGAATGTATTCTCACTCCCTATCTGTTTTTATGTTGTTCTTTACTTCGGTGGTACATATACTCAGTTAGAGGAACCTTAGTTGCTGTTGAGTTAGAGGATGGCGTAATGACCTTCTTCGTGGTTTATCGCTTTTGAGTTGTTTAGTTTCCGTGTGTCGCTTTGATAGTGTAACATTGAGATGGATTATTTGTTTCTATTTATATTCCGAGTTTTTGAAATATTTAATTAAATGAAGTATTTTATAATTTGAGACAATTAAAGATGTTATTTGAGTTAATGTCGCTGCTATGTTTTATAATTTGATTGAGTAAAGATGTATATTGAGAATGTGTAATATTGTTTAAGAAAATTATTCGCATGTTTTTATAAATAAAGAATTTAAAGTTTAAGGTGTTACATCTTTCATGATTAGATTTTTTGTCAAATTTTCAAAATCTCCCTAACAACAACAAGTGACTCGTCTCCATAAATACTACATCATACAACATCATGTCTTCATACATTTTTTAAATGTAAAACAAACCTTAATTTGGTTATTGATAAGAATTTCAAACACTTATATTATTCCATTGGAGTTTATAAGGCTTAAGATGAGATCTTGTTTTCAAATAAGTTTTGTTTTCAAATAAAGTTTAGAAATCAAACATGCACTATCCACAACGATACAACTATCTCCATTTATTATTAAAGAAGATATCTTTTCTTATACTAGACATATTATGTGAAAAATATTTTCTCTTTAAATTGTACCTTCCTTGTTGCTTTGATGTGTTGGTTTAATCCCTAGAGGCCAATATTTTTTGTACTTGTATCAAATTATTTATTAATAATAAAAAGTATTTATTTATTATGTTTTCTTTTGCAAAATAATAAAGTCCCTAGAATAGTTCGTATGTTTAATGAAATGTTAAGTGTGGCTTAATCATGAGATCCCATTAAACATAAAGACATTATTCTTAAAGTATCTGTAGTCGAGCTTTATTGCAAAGTGGGATAATATTAAAGTATTGAGATTATTATGAAGATAGACTGATGATCACATCTCATGAATCATAGATAAGGAGTTATCAAGTCTTGACACATGTATGAATATTATGAGTAATATTTATAATGGATTGATCCGCTATGAAAATACTACATAGAACGTGATGAAAGGTGTCATAAGTTATTCTCATGGTGATAATAATGTATACCGCCCTTCGACCTGAAAGCACTATGGACCCTAGATGTAGAGTTAAGTAATTTATTATTGATCAAGCGTTATCCGTAATTGGATGATCATAAAGACAGTTGATGGGTACTTCACAAAGCATATTGAGGGACATGAGTGACCTATATGGAATTTGTCCATCCTGCATAACAGGATGAACGTCTAAGGGCCCAATATTGAATTGGACAAGAGTGACATGGTCTATGTCTTGTGTTCAATATAGACATAGGGTAAAAGGGTAATTGTACATACAAATATTATCACAAAAAGGTTTTGTCAGATCACATGATATTTTCGTGACTTGGGTAGCCGTGATGTGTTGTTAGATACCGCTCATTGTTTATTATGTTAAGTGTATGATTTAATATAATTGCCAACATCACGAAAACTTACAGGGTCACACACATAAGGACAGGTTGATGAGAGATATAGTAAATAAGGAACACCGTAAGGTATGATGCACTTAAGGGAATTTTAGAACACCTTAAGATACAATACACTTAAGTGAAATATGGAATATGGTAAGGTACCACACACTTAAGTGATATGCGGTATATCATAAGGTATAATGCTTGTACGCTTAATTGTGCTTTTAGCTTGTAACCTTAATTGGGCTTTTAGCTTGCAGCCCACACAAGCGGTTCTATAAATAGAGCCCTTGCGATAAAGCATTTCACTTGATGAAAATTCGGTCTTGAAACCCTAGCCGTATTTTCTCTCACTCTCTCACTCAAAGTTTTTGTTCGTAAGCAGCTAGAACTGTGACCGGAAGCGATTTGTTAGTATGGACTAAGCAAAGGCGTTTTTCTTCATCAACACTCGTGATCACATCATCAAAGGTCTGAATCACCTCAAGAGGTAATAATTTCTTTCACCGACCATTCCCATTCGTAAGGATCACTAAAGGAAAATCTTAATTTCCGCTACATTTTGGATCGCAATTTTCCTTCAGTGGTATCAGAGCCACTTACGAAACCATAGATCTGATAACTGTTTATTTTATGTATGTTCTATATTAATTCGATTAAAACATAGAATGAATTGAAAAATAAACGAGTAAATTAAATTTTGGCATCATGGTATGTACAATTTGGACGATTCGATGTTGACTATGCTTCGGAATCCGACACTAGTATGGTGAAGCAGCGATACATCAATCTTCCATAATTTATACTGATATGATCAATTGACTTTATATATGATAAATAATTCTGGTGCAAAGATGTATATTGGATATATTGTTTCGATTTCTTCCATTCAATCACATAATGATTGTTATTCTTTTGAAAGATCATTGTTCATTCGCTTTATAATCTGACGTTAGTATGGTGAAGCAATGACATGTTGATCAATCATACTGAATTATCGACCGTGTTGTGTTTAACGGTATGAAATTATTTGTATTAGGGTTCATGACGACACAAGGGTTATATTGTCGGAGAGTTATGTGGTTAGGGTTGTAACAGCACAAGAGTTATGCAAAAACGGTGTCGATTTCAAATGATCGGGCAGCGGAACCCTCGACTAACTCTGCATAGTGTGATCAATCGCCAAAATCCAATTTGGTTTATTTAATTAACAGGATTTAAACTAATAATAAAAGTGTGTTTATTACTGTTGTCTTGTGGTGATCAGTTATGTCATTAGTTTTCCTTTATTTTGTTTTGGGATTTTAAAATACGGCCTGCGTTTTGTGCCTCTCTTAATCTCTTGATGTAACTTCTTTTCTCATCTCACTCTCTCGTATGTAAAACGAGTTTTCTTTTATGTAATGTAATGTTATGAAGAAAGAGTATAATACAGTATCAAATGAGGACAACCTTGGAGATCTTTCTTGGAGAAGTTTAGATCGTTATTAGGTTAGCTTAGGTTCTCTCATTGGCTTGGGAGAACAATTGCGCTAGGGGCCATAACTGTATCTTTTTATATGTATGTTGATGCATGTGAGAGACGTTTTGCATGTTAATCCGGTGAGGTCAAACTAATAACAAATTTCCTAAAAAAGAATATTAAGTTTATGCTTTCCAAGTTTTATCACTCATCAAGACTAATATCGAACAATATAGGTTTCGCCTAACACGAGGTGCATGTTCTATATTAGTAAGGTGTGATGGGATAAACGTAATATCCAATTGCTAAAATATTGGGTCAAACTTAACTAAACAAATTATAATAAGATTATACATGTTTAGAAGCAAGAGTTGGGAATGATTCATATGATGGATTAGAATAAGGAGTTATTCACCCAACTGAAAATATTTGAGATTTGTATGAGATACAATTGGAAGAAGTTCCTACCTAAATAACCTAGTTTTATGTAATCAGCCTAACGCTGACTTAAAACAAAGTGAAATGTGGATCTCGACCCACTAGAAAATCTTCCAACGGGATTTTCTGAATTAAATGGTGAGGGTCATTTGGTTTGAGTAAAATATTGGGAGCATATTTGATTAAAGGCCTAATTGAATATGTTGTTTTAATGATACTTATATTTTCATATTTTTCTTATAGATTACTGTGATAACAAACACCTCTAACAACATTTGACGATCAATCCTTGATAAGTAAAAATTGTTTGGGATAAATTTTTTGGATTGACACCGAAATCTGAGGATTATTCTCAAGCATGATAAGAAGTTGTATGTCTTGGAGACACCTATTCCTGAAGTGGAACCTCCTAGTTCTGCACCTAAGGCAGAAATAGATGCTTATAAGAAGCATGTCGATGATACCAATGAAACCTCTTGCCTTATGCTAGCTACCATGAACTCAAAGTAGCAAAAGCAGCATGAGAACGTGTCAGCGTTCGATATGATCGGATATCTGAAGATGCTCTATCTAGATCAGGAAAAAAATGAGAGGTTTCAGGTTTCAAATTCCCTTTTTAATAGCAAGTTAGTTGAGTCAACCCTTGTAGGTCCCCATGTACTCAAGATGATTGGGTATGTGGAGAACCTTAAAAGGTTAGGGTTTCCCCTTAGAAAGGAACTTTCGACTGATTTGATCTTGCAATCGTTGCCAGAGAGCTTCAGTCAATTTTTCATGATTTTCAACATGAATGTCATGGACAAAAGTCTTCTAGAATTTATAAGTATGTTAATAACTGTTGAGCAAAATGTGAAGTTAAAAGGGAAGTCCATTATGATGGTCAATAATGGAAAGAAGCTGAACAAAAGGCCCACCAAGCAGGTTGGAAAAGGGAAAGGCAAGGAAGTTTCCAAACCTAAACCTATTGTTCCTACTGTGAAGCCTAATGGAGGCATAGAAAAAGAAGGCACTTACTTCCATTGCGGTAAAACCAGACACTGAAAGAGAAACTGCCCAAAGTACCTGGAAGATAAGAAGAATGCAGCAGAGACTTCAAATTCAGGCATTTTTGTTATAGAAATTAATTTATCTACTTCTGTATCACGAGTATTAGATACTAGATACGGTTCTCACATTTGTACCAATCAGCAGGGGCTTGAAAGGAGTAGAGATTTGGCAAAAGATGAAGTTGACTTACGAGTTGGCAATGAAGCAAAGGTTGTTGCTTTAGCCGTAGGAACTCATGTTTTGACTTTACCTAGTGGTTTAATAATTCAAATAGAAAACTGTTATTATGTACCTGCAATTAGCAGGAATATATTTATGTTTCTTGTTTGGACAAGTTTGTTTTTTCATTCATAATAAAGAATAATTGTTGCTCAATTTATTTGAATGATATATTTTATGCTTCTGCACAAATGAATAATGGATTGTATGTCCTTGATCTTGAAATGCCAATTTATAACATTAATACTAAAATGATTAAACCTAATGAGTTAAATCCAAGTTATCTTTGGCATTGCCGCTTAGGCCACGTGAATGAGAAACGCATTTCCAAAATATATAAAGATGAACTCTTGGACTCTTTTGATTATGAATCATATGAGACATACAAATC